TAAGAGCTTACTCCTAACCTTTAGGTGGGATTAATCCATACTTTTTCCACCATATGACTCTTCCAAATTAGACAGATAAATCAAGAATGGGAATGCTTTTTCTTACAAATCAATCGATGATGGATTCTCTTTAAACAGAAACCCTAATAATGGTTGTTCACTTAAAATTTACAACCATCTATTTCTAAGAGAACAATAGATGATATAAGATTATTAGGATGTAATATAACATTGACCTTCTAAGGAACACAAAAGTAGAAAAAGCTTCTGGGTATCAGGGATACAACAGTTACCAAAACTAGGCACTGAATTCTGTACTAAGTTTACTAACAGCTGAGACAAAATAAAAAACAGATTATCTTCTGACAGGAAATACAAATTTATCTAGAAAAAATTATTCCTCAAACAAAATTTAAGTGACATTGCATGATTTTACAAATAACAAGGACTAATATAAGAGGTAATAGTAAAATATGCTTGCATAAATATGATTTAAAATATTCATTGCTTTACAAAATAGTGACATCAACACAACTTGTTAAGAACCCATATACTACACATCAAGTGAAGTATACCTCAAAACAAGAAATCTGATTAATCATTATTGAACACATCATTAAAAAATTAATTTCTAAGTCTATTTTAAATACAAAAAAATACCTTTTCCCCCAAATAAACTATGGCAAATTAAAAAAAATCAAATTTTTGAATGCCCGTTAATTTCTCCAGTTTTGCAGAACAAGTCAATGTAAGTAGACAATTCTAGTCTTGAGAAAAATATATTTCTAAATATGAAGAATTAATCTCCACATCATATTTAATGATAATTAATAAGAAATACCTGATCCATTATATTTTAAAGATGTGATGAGAATACAAATTGTGATATCAAATCTTAGAGATGAGAATACAGCAATTTTCACATACAAATACAAGCATAAAAATTGATATTGTTGTCAATAATTATAAAAAGCATAAGCAGGTGTTTTTTTCAGGTAACATAACCAGTTAAAATTCATTGAAATAAATGTGCCTCACTTGTTCATTAACTTTCTTCTCTTTCTCCAACTCTTTTTCCATGTCCTCCAATTCTCTATCTTTCTGTTCCAATTGCTTTTCAAGTTGGCGAATTTCATCACGTAAAAACCGGGTGTCACGTCCACCTGTAGACTGCAGTGCCATCTTGAAGTAAAAAACCAAAAGTATAAGCCATGTAATCACATTATATTTGGAGATTCAAATGAATCAATAACAAACAAATGATTATCTTGACTCCAAATATGTATTATAATCAGCATCAGATGTTCAAAATCATGTTAGCTTAAAAAACATTTTAAAAATTTAACTTATTTAGGCTTTAGTTCACAGGCTGACAACCCCCTAAGCTTTTCCAGAGCCACCCAGTGCTATGAAGAATTGACCATCCATTACTCAAGCTCTATTATAGCTTCTGAGGCAGATTAAACTGCAAAGTCACAGAACATAGATGATGAACTATCTAAGTTTCCCCTGAGCATCAGAGCTCTGAAACAAGGCTCCAAAGCACCTGAGCCTCCATCCCAGTTACTGAACCCCTAACCTGCCCTTAATCTCATACCACAGACTATTTAGACCAGTGTGATTAAGAGGACTTTCTAGGATAATGGGAATGTTCTCTACATTCTCCAGTATAGTAGCCATTATCCACTAGTGGCTATTGAGCACTTGAAATGTGGCTAGTGAAACTAAAGAACTGAATGTTTAGTTTTAATTATAATGAATTTAAAAGTGAATAGCCACAAGTCATTAGTGCTACTGTATTGGACAGCCTACCTGCAAACTGAAGGCTTCTGAACATATCCATTCTTTCTCCCTTCTTCCTTTTGAAGTCTGATCCTTCTATATCACATTCCTTCCCACATTCTCAGGAATCTCTATGTGTTCAGTTTCCTAATACTACATTCATATTTTGGCTCTTGGCTTTCTCAAAAGTTGTTTCTTCTACCATACCCTCTGTCACTATTCCTCAAATTCCCATGTGCCTCACTCTGCCTGTTATTAGTAATCCTTTGTATATCTTTCTAAACTGTAGGCTCTTTAAGATTATTGAATCTTTTTATTTTGTTCATATTGGATACTAAATTCTCAGTATAATTTAAGGTACGTGATAGACATATAAAATATGCTGAACAAGTAATTATGAATACAATATCATTCTTATGGTTTCCAACCAATAATAATTCAAAGTAAAAATAATAACTCCAAATAATAAAATAACAATTACACACTAGAGAATACAAAAGGACATACCTCCAGTTCATTTTCCAGTTTCATTACTTTAGTTTTTAATTGATTTTCTATTTAAAAAAAAGATGTTTTAATTGGTCAGATTTATCAAGCTTTTAAATAAACTTCAATAAAATAATAAAATTATTTTTTAAAAATTCCATCATGATTGTAAGAAGAAAAACACTATTTTATACCAGACCCATAAGCAGGAGTTAGCTTTCAAAATAAATTGCATATGCAAATTTAATAGACTATATTAAAGTTAATTCTCTATTGGTTAGTAAATAAATGGAATTCACTATCTAATATAAACTTTTCCCAAGGTTTACCAAATTTTGCTTGTTCTTCTCCAGCTTTATCAACTTCTTCCAAAGCTAGCTCTACTTCTTGAGCTTTCATCTAAACATTAACAAAAAAAGTGACTTTAAGATGCCATTACATTAGAACATAAGAACTGAAAATAAGAATTATATTTGTTCTCCCCATACTTAGTGTCTGCAGTGCCTGTCATATGGAGATAATCAGTAAATAACACACAGTATTTTCTTTCTTAAGATTATAATTTCTAGATTCTTAACAGTTTAAAACATCTTTGTTTCCTCTTTTCCCTTCAAGTCTTATATCCAGTATTGCAACTTCTCCCTTTGTAACGTTCTCCACTGTCTCTTTTTCTACTCTGTTCCATTGTCTCTATTTCTTTTCTAATTTTCATTACTCTAGTCCATGATTTTATGTCTAATCTCCTTCATAATGTTATGTCTAAACAGCTTCAATTCCCTTCGATCTCCCTAAGGCATATTTTTGTATCTAACAATTGTGACTCAAAAGCCTAATGAATACTCATTGCCAACAGCACACAACATAACTTTAAGTCCTCAACAAGGCTATTAAACTATAAATACCCACCATTTATTTCCCCTCCCAGCTGCTATAAACTTTTTACACTTGTCTCCTCAAATATAAAAGGATATGCACATTTTCAATCTCCACCTCTAGTCTCTCCTTAACATTTTCCCACTGCCTTCCATTTACCTAAAACAACTCATCAGTCTGAGGTCTTCTCACATTTAACTCTCTTCCCCTCCTAACTAATCCCTATAAATAGTTATCTGCATTTTTCATTTCTACCTCAGGATTATGCTAACATAATTAACACAGGACCTCCCTATGTTATTTTTAAGCATATTCACTGTTTTCCCTACACATTCTTTTAGTAACTTTAGAGCAAAAACTAGCAATGTATTGCACACTAAAATTCTGAATCACATTTGAAGATACTTCATTTCTTGGTGACTGAGATATTACAAAGTACTTTCGCAGAGATTAACTCATTTGAATAACAGATCCTTGCATTTCTTTAATAGTCAAAACTGTTTTTGAAATCTACTACATACAAACCTTCATTAGTGACTGAGTAATTCTGAAAAGGTGTATCACATTTTCTTGACTTGCATTTTTCAGCTCATTTACTTCCACCTAAGTAAACAGAAAAGCAACTATTTTATAACCCTTAAACAAAACAAAATACTTCGTTATACCACTCAGTGATGCAAGGACAACTTAATCATATTTATATGCATATATCTATGTATTATTTATCAATTAAGCACCTTGGATAAGGAAACCAATAAATTATCTGCTAATTCTTCTTGACGAGGTAGGTCATCTGGGTCAACTTTTATTATTTCTTTCCAGTTTATATTAGGTGGCATCTTGAACTGTTTAACAGTCTTTACCTTCTGTAACAAAACAGGTGGGTATTAGCATTTTCAAGGTAAACAGCATTATTGTTTTTACAGTAGCTTACACTTTTTATAGTTTATATTTATGGTGTTAACAAAGAGCTATGGCTCCTTAACTATGTAACGGATTCGTAAGGCAAAATAGCCTTCATTAAAATTATAGCAGCTGAAACAAATTATCAGTTATTGTACTAAGTAAACTATGACAGCTTCCTTGATAAAACTAATCTAGACCAGAACTAAGATTTTGAGTCACCTTCTCCGCGCTCTTTACCACCAAAGCGCGCGAGAACATCTAAAGGTGCCAAGCGCCAGGATGCTTGGAAAGCTGTAACTGACGCCTGACTCGGGGAATCAGGAACTGGGGGGGTGAGGCTGGGGGAGGGCAGAAAATAAACTGAGATGAGTGCATTGGGCTCGGAGTAAACGGGAATGAAGCAAGAAGGCAGATGGATTGAGGATCAAAAACTAAGGGGCGAGGAAGCTGGGCCATTGCACACTGGCCCTGAGGCTTAAAGAACCTGCGTGGGAAGAGGTTCGGTACTGCAGCTCACCAGTATCCACCCACCAAGCCTTGCAAACGGGGGAGGCTTCTTATCCACCGCTTCCACCCCGGACCCCGCAGCTACGCTTGACGGCTCTCCAGCGCCGTTCCAATTGGACCCCGGATCCCGCCAACTGGTTCCGAGCAAGGACTAGCCGCAGCTGCGACCGCAGCGGCGGCGGCGGCGGCTGCTAGGCGACAATTCCCCACCCAGCTGAGACGGGAACGAGGTCCCGGATGCAAAAGGAGCCTACATTTCACGACTGTGGGTTATACTTTACGTTTAGATTCCCCAGACGGGTGCACGGACTCTGCTTTAAGGACACGGAGAAGGCGTAGGGTTAGGACTCCGAATCCCAGGGTACAGCTCTTCGTGGCGGCTGTGCATCCTGGGAACTGAAGTTTCTGCGAAGTAGAGGTCGGCCTTTCCCGACGTGCAATGCGGGAGGCAGCGACCGAACCCGGGCAGCAGGGCTTCCACCCGAGGCGGGAGGCGCAGCAGCTACTCTGGCGCGTGTGCGCTGGTGGCCTGAATGAAGTGGATCATGACTGCCCCTTCTGTGCTGTCGCTGTCTGGCTTGCTTTTTCTGAGGTTTCCCTAAGCCATCACCTGGTGGAACCACTCCCAGGTGAGATCAGACGGCCGTTCTGCGGCGGGGGAGGAATTGAGGGGTGCGGTCCCGGTTTAGGGAAGCTCCTACCATTGGGGAGTAAAGGCCAGGTCAGGGTCTGAAAGATGGAAAGACTACACCTTCTTAGGTGTTTGCAAGCTATGGTGTGGGTGATGCTCAGTGTAAAACGGAAGGGGGAAAGTTTTAGCCTTTTGGGGGTTCAGAATCTGTCTCGTCCAGTGGGGACTGCGCAATCGAGATCAGGATCTGGGCGCGAGGGAAGATATAAGAAGACGCCGCATCCTTCGACCCCGCCCGCCTTACCTGTAACGCCTTGATCTTTGCGGATTGAAGGACTTGAAGGTTGAGGAGAGGAGTTAGCATCGAGTGAAGGCTCTATAGTGGAGGGGTTAGAGCCTTCCTGGCCACTGCTAGAGGTGGAGAGAGAGGGGGCCTCGGTATTCACCATTCCTGTTGCTGTTACTTACTTGATTACTGAGGCCGCCTTCTCAGGTGTTCAGAACTCTTGTGCAAGTTTTGCTCATCCCTCTGCTCTCAGCCTTTCTAAAGTGTGATAGACCACTAGGTAACTCTGAAGAAGCTGCAGACTTGAACTCTAAATGGCATTTTCACCTGTTTGGACTAGTTCCTCTCATCTTTTTTCTTAAGCCCCCCGCCTTTTTTTTTTTTTTTTTACTGTAATTGATAATACATTTTTTATTGAAAGCAAGTAATAGGTTTCTTTCCCTAACACGTGGTTGGGCAATAGCTCAGTAGAAATAACTTAGTAAAAAATCAAAACAAATGTTGATTTCTGAGGTATATGTTTAAAGACATCCATCGGCTTTGTAGGAATGATCATTTGTGTCTAATCCTTTACTGAAATATGTTATGCCAAACACTGTTAATTATCTGTTTTTTTAAACCATGCTCTACAATTTATCCACAAAACTAAAAACTGGAAATTTGTAACTTTTGACCAGTCTGCCCTTTTTTTTTACCTCCTAGATTTCACATATAAATGAGCATACAGTATCTGTCTTTATCTGACTTATTTCACTTTGCTTAATAATACCCTTAGGGTCATTCATGCAAATGACAAATTTTCTTATTTTTTTGTGGCTGATTAGTCATCTAATAGTCTATTGTATATATATACACCACATACTCTTTTCTTTCTTTTTTGGTTTTGAGAAAGGGTGGAAGGGGAGAGTAAGAGAGAAGAAAAAAACGATCAGTTTGTTGTTCCACCTATTTATGCATTCATCGGTTGATGCTTGTATGTGCCCTGACTGTGGATGGAACCCACCACACTGGTGTGTCAGGACAGTGCATATCAGGAAAAGGCTGCGAGCATTTGAGCTAAAACAGTCTGCAACAAATAGAAGGGTGCAGATAGCTCTTAGAGAGTGATGGTCATTTCCTTCTGATATATATACCCAGAAGTAGAATTAGGTATAATATGGTAGTTCTGTTTTTAATTTTTCAAAGAACTTCCATACTGTTTTCCATAGTGGCTGTACCAACTTACATTCCCACCAACAGTGCACATCCTCCCAACACTTATCTCTTGTTTTTGATGACAGCCATTCTAATAGGTGTAAAGTGATAGCTCATTGTGGTTTTGATTTGCATTTCCCTGATGATTTGTAATGAACAGCTTTTCATTTACCCGTGGGCCATTTGTGTCTTCGGGGAAAATTCCTCTGGCCATATTTAATCAGGTTATTTGTTGTGTGTGATGGGTTTTTCTTCCTTCCCTTTGCTGTTGAGTGTCTGAGTTCTTTATATAGTTTGGATATTAGCCCATTATCAGATCTATATTTGTAAATTTTTCTCCTATTTTATAGGTTTTATTTTCATTTTGTTGACAGTTTCCCTTTGCTGTGCAGAAGTTTTTTAGTTTGACATAGATCCATTTATTTGGACTTTTGTTGCTTTTGCTTTTGGTTTAAAATCCAAAAAATCATTGCTAAGACCTATGTCAAGGGGTTAATGCGTGTTTTCTTCTAGGAGTTGTATGATTCAGGATTTATAGGACTTGAATAGTCTTTAATGCATTTTGAGTTGATTTTTGTTCGTGTAAGATAGTGGTCCAGTTTGCATTCTTCTGCATGTGGCTCTCTAGTTTTCCCAATACCATTTATTGAAGAGACCATCTTCTCACTGTATATTCTTGGTCTTTTTGTTTATTTTGGGGCTCTCTCTTCTGTTTCATTGATCTATGTGTGTGTTTGTACCAATACCATACTGATCTACTTGCTATAGCTTTGTCATTAAATCTTGGTAGCAGTCCATGAAATAGAAGCTTACACTGTCCCCAGTTTTCAACTAAATTAAGAAACTGAGGCTTGGATTGGTTAAGTACTCTGCTCCAACTTAAATAATGTGCTCAAACACAGATCTTTCTGGCTGGAAAACCTGCTCGTAACTGCTACCCTGCCTCATCAGGCATGCTGTGAACCAATATTCATAAAGTACGTGTACTTCGGTCTTGCAGTGTATGTTAAATATTTTAGACCATTTGGCCACGCTGCCTCTTTGTGTGTTAAATATTTTATATTCTGACATATAACTTTGTTTACTGAAGAAGTTGAATTAAGTATTCCTCATGTTCAGTGATTTAAATTCATAATTTAACAGAAAATAGGAATAAAATTTAATGTTTCTTGAGCACATATTATGCCATATACTATGCTGAAAACTGTATTTTCATAGTAGAAATCTTATTTCTGTTGCAGCACCTTACTTTTCTTGTTTTTTAAAATATATTGTAACTTATTTATTATTTTACTAGTTATATTTTGTCTTTGTTAGCCTTTTCTATCCTCTGCTTTCCTCACCCTGTTGTTCTTATTTATATTCCCAATGACTCAAGGTCCCTAATCTAATGGTAAGTTTTATTCACTTTTTTCAAAAGTGAAAACGGGTTCAGCCCTGGCTGGTGTAGCTCAGTGGACTGAGCGCGAGCCTGCGAACCAGGCGATCACAGTGCAATTCCCAGTCAGGGCACATGCCTGGGTTGCAGGCCAGTTCCCAGTGGGGGATGCATGAGAGGCAACAGTGCATTGATATTTCTCTCCCTCTCTCCTTCCCTTTTAAAAATAAATGAATAAAATCTTTTTAAAAAAAGTGAAAACAGGTTCAGAGAAGCTAAGTAATTTAAATTTCCTAATAATGAAGGAAGCTAAGATTGCAACCCAGAGCTCATTTACAGTCCTGACTAAAATGTAAACTCTTGCTTATATTTTATTATTTTACCCATTCTAAAAATATTTTTGAGCTTTAAATGAGTTAGCTATGGTCTATCAGGGCGTCTCTGGGCCACACTGGAAGAACTGTCTTGGGCCACACATTAAATACATCATGACAGGTAATCACAGAAGAACCTCACAGTGTTTCAGTTGGGCCACATTCATAGCCATTCTGGGCTGCAAGTTGGACCCCCCTGGCTGGGTCCTAATACATTGTAGTATATTTGTAACTAACTCTGAATCATGAAATTTAACTCAGATTCTAGTTTAGTCACTGACTATAACTTTGAGGAAAATTGCTATCACTCACCATTATTTTTCATTAAATTTTCTGCATTAGTCATTTTTCACCAAAAGAAGGGATTTATATAACAATTAAGTGTCTTAATTACAGGAACACTTGCCTGGACCTGCCTTCTTTCCTCTCTGGTTTTGTAAGCAGTTTTATCTGACCAAAATCTTCACAAGAAGGACTTGCCTTTTATAATTGCTACTACCTCTGTTCTCTGTTACTCCCTTGCCATTTTGCTACCATATCAAGAAAATGAGTTATAGCTTACTTTTCCAGCTTCTAAAATAATGCAAGGCCATAAGAAAGTTAGTATTCACTGTGTGTAGTAAATGTTTTGTTTTGCCTGTTCTCATGGAAAGCAATCAGGGTACAGCAAGCCAGTACTTGTCTTCTTTCAACTGGAAGAAACTGGAAAGATTGGTAGGAGTTAGTGTGAATGCAGACTTTGCAAACTTAGTCAGCCAGAGTTTTATGAACTATAAAATAGTAATAAGATATAGTTGATTATCCTTATCAAAAAAGGTATACTCATGAAATTATTGAACTGAGAGGACTTTCCTTTTCAGGCTAAATTTTCCCAGATTTATATGAAATTTTCTACAGATTTATTACTTTTCTACAATCATACTGTTGTATTATTAGAAAAAGTGAACAGTCAGTACAGTTTTATTAAAGGAATTGCATTGTTTTCTATGTCTATAATGTAACTCATAAGTGGTCTTCATTTGTAGTTGAGTTTTCTGCACATACATGGTGGCATCCTGTTTTTGTAAGCAGATGTAAATCAATCATTTCATTCACTCAGACCATATGTATGCATCTGTGTCAATATGCCTGTGGGCCTAGAAAAAGAACTTAAAGTTCCCTGTCTTAGTCTGTGCATGCTGTTTTTAACACTGCACTGGAGATTAGGTGGTTTATAAACAACAGGAATTTATTTCTCACAATTTTGAAGGCTGGTTAAGTCCAAAATCGAAGCAGCAGCGGATTCAGTGGTGAGGACCACGTCCTTGTTCATGCCTGGGCGGGGCAGGGGCGGGGTCTTTTCTCTTTGACCTGGCAAGGCAGAAAAGGCAAGGGATCTCTTTTATAAGGACATTAGTTCTACTTATAAGGGCCTTACCTCCTAAAGGTCCCACCTCCAAATACCATCATACTGGGCATTATGATTTAGCCTAAATTTGGTGGGGGAGGATACCAACATCTAGTCTCTAGCATTCCCACAACTAATGTTTAACAGTAATGTGTTACATTGTCACATTAGTGGGTTATATTGTTACAGTAATGGCCTCCAGTGCATAGTGCCTCCTTCTGCTTATGCCCTGTAACACTCTTTCCCTCTAACCTCTCTACAACTGAGCTTTATTATTTGCATGAAAACTAGCTCTCTCCCTTGAAGAATCTTAGAAAATTCTATTATTTTTGCCTGTTTATAACATTTCCAACATTGATTCTGGGTTTACCTTGCTTGA